AAACACACACACACATACACACATACCTGCTGATGTCCCTCGTAAGCGGCCAGGTGTAGCGGCGTCCAGCCAGAGTTGTCTCTGTGCATCTCGTCCAGCCCCCTGTCCAGCAGCTGCCTGACCACCGACTGAGAGCCCTGGGCCGCGGCCACACACAGCACTGTCCGGCCCTCCGTGTCGATGTGGTCAACAGCAGCGCCCCAGAACAGCAGTTGTCTCACAACCCTCTGATGGCCCATGGAGGCCGCCGCCCACAGCGGGGTCCGATGTTTGACGTCACTGTGGTCAGCGTCGGCGTCCCACTCCAGTAACATGTCACAGACTCCCGGGTGACCCTCGTACGCGGCCACAAGGAGCGGTGTGGACCCGTCTTTGTCCGTGTGGTCAACCTCGGCCCCTCGCTCCAGCAGCAGACTGACCACTCTCTCGTGGCCCTCACTGGCGGGCACACAGAGACAGGCTACACTCAGCGCCGTGCGGCCGTCACAGTCCTCGTGGTCAATCTCTGCCCCCTGGTCAAGCAGCTCCTCCACGATCTCCACGTGACCCATGTAGGCGGCGGCGATCAGCGCAGTCCGACCCTCGTGGTCAGTTTTGTTGACGTCGGCCTGGTGGTCAAGCAGAAGCCGGACAATGTCCTCATGTCCGCCCCAGCAGGCCGCTCTTAGAGCAGTCCTCTGCTCCCCGTCGGCGTGGTCCACTTGGGCGCCTTTGTCCAAGAGGAGACTGACCACCTTGGTGTGACCGGCCCAGGCCGCGGACCGGAGAGCCGTCCAGCCTTCGTGGTCTGCGTGGTCTACGCATGCGCCGGCCGTCACCAGCGCTGTCACGATATTGGCGTGACCTTGGCGGGCGGCTAGGGTCAAGGCCGTCTGTCCGGAACGGTCGAGCAGCTCCAGAGCGGCGCCCCTGGCCAGAAGGGCATCGACACTGGCGGCGTCACCGCGGTAGGAGGCGGTGTGTAGTCGTGTCCGGCCGTTACCGTCAGTCTTGTCAACGGGACCACTGACATCCTCCTCCCCCTCTCCCTCTTCCTCGCCCCTCCCCGTGACGTCCGGGTGGTCGGGTAGCGAGTCCAGACTGGTGATGCTCGCCTCCATGGCGGGTGATCTGGCTCCAGCCTCGGTGAGTAGCTTGAGAACTTTGACCTCTTTGGGCAGTCCCACTGTTAAACATTTGTCCACCCGGGCGCCGGACAGCACAAGCATCTGTGTCAGGTGTTCAAACTGCATGGGCTCCGGGAAGTTGGCGCGGACTAGATGCAGGGCCAGGTCCTGTACCTGCCACATGTCTAACTGTGGAGCTATCTGTAATTGCCGGAGGGCCAGCATAGCGTGGCCTTGTCCGGCGTCACAGAGATATTTCTGTGTACAGTGCTTCACGTCCAGCAACCACTCAGAGAAACTGTGATGGAAGACAATCTGCTCCCCACCCGCCCCACTCATCAACACCCGGCCCAAGAGACGCAGACGACGGTCAAACTCCTCCCTGGACAAGTCAGTCTCGTGCATGAGCAGACATCGGAACAGCTCCTCGCCGCCCACCGGACTTCTGGCCGCTAGCAGCACATTGAGTATAGGCTGTATCTTGACTACGTGTTTCTTCACGAACAGTCTCTGACACAGCCACAGGTAGAGGCCGTTGAGCGTGCCAGGAATCTCTCTGACCTCCCTCAGCATGATGAAAGACTCGGCCACGCCGTCTAGAACCTTTTCTAGGTAGAGGAAACAGCCGTTACTCTTGATGTGTAGCTGATTCAACATCTCGGCGGTGTCCCGACTCAGGTGCTGCCTCAACCCGTCCTCGGCGTCCAGGCGACACAGGATGTACTGCTGCACGTCACGGACCACGTGACTCTTACGTAGGTCATCCAGACTCAACTTCCGGAAGCCTGTGAACATCCGGGTGACTACCTTGCTCTGTTTACGGGCGGAGCAGACGAGAAGTAACCAGGGCGGGAGACTGGCGTTGTGGGCAGCCAGGAGCTCCGCTATTGTCTGACTACAGCCTGCACGCTCGCTGACCGGGTGAAGATAAGATTCATCGATAGAGTCCACCCACAGCATGAGGGCATGTGGCGGGGGCTCGCACGAGTGTAAAGGTTCCAGGAACGACACTTTAAAGGCCTCGTCGGCGTTCCCCTCACATTCCCGCGGCTGAAGCAAGTGCTGGGCGTTTGTGGCAGATAAGTGGGACCGGAAGTCGGGTAGGTGTGGGCAGGTGCATGCCTGGGTGACCAGATTGTTGATGAAGCTGACCACAGACAGGGACGAGGCGTCGTGAGCCTGACAGAAGTGATAGGCCAGCAGACGAGAGTTGAGCGAGGATTGCTTCCCCTGAGGCGAGGAGGGCCAGACCAGCTCACACCCGAGCGCCGTCTTCCCGCTGCCCGGCCCACCCATCACTAGAGTCCCGCAGGTCTTGGAGGAGGCCCGAGTTTCCAGACAGTGTAACAGCTTGGTGAAGGCCCATTCGCGGCAGTAGAACCGCTTGCCTTTGAGTAGACTCTCCGTCATTCTTGTAGCTTGACTTCTCACCTTACAGGTGACCTCTCACTTCTCGGGGCGATCTTTCCCCTCACGGGGTGACCTCTGACTTCACGGGGTGACCTTTCCCCTCACAGGGTGACCTCTGACTTCACAGGGTGACCTTTCACCTCACGGGGTGACCTCTCACTTCACAGGGTAACCGTGCACCTCACAAGGTGACCTCTGATGTCACAAATTTACATCTACAAAACCTTTCACCACGGTAGTTAACTTTTCACCTCACGAGCTGACTTCACTATGAGCAGACAGATTCTGCGTGAGCGGGAAATAAGAAGTCCACCTGTATGATCACAACATAGAAGCCTCTTTACACAGCGGTCAGCGAACAGGAAACAGTTTCCTGTCTGACCACCGTGACGTCATGGTCTTGCAAGATCCGTTAACATCGCCATGATACGTGGACATCACACATAGCTCCTGTGAAAGAAGAACATGTCACTGCTCACAAGGTCTGTCTGGCCAGGCTCTTGACATCAGCAGGGACACTCCACTCTAGTTGTCGGCTTGCATCAGATGTCACAACAGAACCTGAAATAAAAACGAAAAAGAAAAAAACGTGAAAACAGAGAACATGCACACATGACACCATCTATATATTCTTTAACAATGAAGTCTTTTTACGCCCTCACTGACACACAGAGTGGATACATTTAGGAGGAAGGCTTCGAACCTGCCTGTTAGGGCCAACCTGGGCAGAGAGGGAAATAGGGTCGGGTCCTCGCAGAAAGACCGAGTTACTCAATAAAAATTTTAAAAATTCTCATTATATGGGAATCGAAACTAGCCTCTTCTGCGTATGACGGCAAAGCGCCTAATCGCTACATCACGGTACGCAAGTCAGGGCGAACTGAGAAGGCAAATAACAGACGCACAAAATAATGTTTGTTCACTCCTAACCATAGATTATAAACTTGAATCATAATATCCCAGACCGCACACGGTCATGATCACCGCTCTTTACTCTCAGCATAACCTCCGCTGCGCTGGTGCGCACCATGGGAGCCCAAATGAAGAGCAAACCGCCACTCCCGCTATAGTCGAGTGCGCGCGGGACCTTCACCCCTTGCCCTTCATTTGGCTCCAAATTGAGTCAAATAATGCGCTCCATAATGAACCAGAATTACGCCGGAGAGCACAGGCTGTAAATTGTAATGCAAGCCTGCGTGTCGGATACAAAAAAATGCAAGGAAACAATCAGCTTCACTGAACAAAATTACAACAAGGCTGTACAAAATATCATTGTCTGCACTCCACTGAGACGAAATGTTCACACACGCCGGCTGTGGCCCGACATCTGTCGGATACACTTACGGAGAGAGAGAGAGAGAGAGAGAGAGAGAGCTCCCGTTAGCGGATGGGAGTAAGGGAGCGCACTCTCGGGCCCTTTGACGCGTTTCTGCCCAGAAAATTATAGAGAAGAAGCAATCATTATACGGGATTTGTCGGTCACGGTTCCCTCTGCCCCCTCCTGCCCCCTCTCCTCTTTCCTCTATTCTCTCTCTCTTCCTCTCCTCTCTCTTCCTCTCCTCCCCCTCCCCCCT